TTTCTGCATCAAAGCAAGCAATGGATGGCCCCGGAATCATGTCTATGGGGCAGATAGGCCTGTGTCACCAGCTTGCATTAGTAAATAGTAAGGGTTGTCTCCTGTAGAACAGAAACCCTTCTAAGTTGCACTAGGAATCCCCCTAGTTAATCATTCAGCAACTCTGCAAAGTTGAGGGCAGAATCACACCCAGTTCACAGAAGGGAAAACTGAGGCCCAGGGAGTTCTTCGGAAACTTAGGAGTTTTCAGCGACTTCCCTGTCATCCTGAACCATGGGCTATACCTGCTGCTTTCTTTCTTTTAGCTCATTCTAGAATCCTTCTTTTTGTTTTGGAGACAGGGTCTCACAATGTAAACCTCGCTGTCCTGGAACTCACTATGCAGACCAGGCTAACTCTGAACTCTTAGAGGCCTGCCAGCCTCTGCCTCCCAGGTATAGAATCCTTTTCTTTTAAGAACCGACTCCCAGTTTCTTCTATGTTCTCTATGCAAAAGCACATGGTCATGATAAGGGGCACCGAAATCTACCACAAAGCCCACTAGGCCCAGTCTGGAGGATCCAGAGAAAGGAGAGTCTCCAGGTGTCACGTGCCTCAGGAGGGGACTTTGGGGCAAGCTATGCCCTGCCCTGATGAACACTGAAGGCTAGGAGCTCACTGAATCCTTTATCGAAGAGTCATAGATAGGAATCAGTGTTTACTTGCCTAGGTGAGCAAGCTGGGGTTTGGAGCAGTGAGGTGACTTGCACAAAGTCACTCATTAGAGACCCCATTCAAGACACATCCCAGCGGGTCTAATTTTAAAGCGTGTTTGATTGCACCAGGCTGGACCAGACTGACTGCTGCCTGGTCCTCCTGCCCTGCTTCTGCTGCAGGCTAGGTGGGAAGCTATGAAGGAGGGCAGCAGGAGGGGCTGGGGATGCTGGGAGCTGAGGTCTGCGTAGCCTCCTGAACCCTCCATCTGGGGAAGCATCACTGTTCAGCTGGCGCATAGGGATGCAGGAAGCCCCTCCAAGCCCCTTCCAGGTAGGATGCTGCAGTTGAGGCTGTGTGTAATAGGGAGCGTTCAGCCATGCCCAGGGCTGGAGAGCCTGGCTCTTGAGGTTCCAGATTCCTGGGCTTTCCCCTAGCAGCCCCACTGTGCTGAGCTCCCAGCTCCACCACTCAAAGAGGCCACAATCCCTGCAGAATCTCTTTCAGCATCTTCTCCCTTCAAAGCCGCCCGGCTCCCCTGCAAGGAGCTCACCTCCCCCACAGCCTCCTTTACATTTTTGCCTACATATTTTTACAGCCAAATAGTGCTTTCAAAGGCCTCCTTTTTCATCTCCTAATTAATTTTTATCTTTCAAGACGGAGGGAGGATAACACAGGAGACGGTGTTTGTGATGTCTGCTGCTCCCTGACAATTCCTCCAGCAAGCCTCCTTCGGAGCCAAGGGGCAGACTCTAGCCACGTAGCTTCCTGCAAGCAGCTGCTGAGCTCAAGGGGCCCAGGGCCGAAGAACTGGGTGTCCTGCTTCCTTCTGTTCTCCCATGTCCTACTCTCATTTATTTACTTATTTATTTTGGGGGTGTGTTACATGCTCGAGTGTGTGCATGCATGTATGCTTGTGAAAGCTAGAGGCCAATATCTGGTATATTTCTCAGTTGTTCTTTATTTATGGAGACAAGTTTACTGATTTACTTAGACAGCCTGACCACTGAGGTAAGGGGGGGGGGCTTCTCTATCTACCCCACACCCAATACTTGGCTACAGCTAGGTTCCAACATGGGAATATGAACTCAAGTCTTTATGATTGCATGGCAAGCTCTTTACTGACTGAGACATCTCCCTAGCCCCATGTGCACCACCTAACCAGGAATATGCTAACTACAGAAACAAAGATAGCTCGTTTTAAAATTGGGATACTTGGTGTGCGTGTATGCGTGCATGTGTGTGCGCGCGCGCACGCACGTGTGTGCATGCACGTGTGCATGTATGGGGTGCTGCCTGCTTGGTCCCTGTGCTCACCGAGGCCTCCTGCACTGGCTTTTCTTGGCTTTGCCACCTTTCAATTCCACCTCTTCCATAGCACCAGACACTCAATTTTATAAGTTCTCTGAACCACTACAATGTGTCAAGACGGTGCTGGGCATGACCCAAACCACCATGGCTTTGTTCCTCCCCAAGGGACACTGATGAGGACTGTGGTGGGATTCTGAGAGAAACAGATTGAAAGGACAAAGAATATAGGCTTTGCAGTCAGGTGTGGTCCAAATCCTGGCTCCGTAGTTTTCTAGCTGTGTGTCATTAGGCAAGTCAGTTAGCCTCTCTGAGCTTTGCTTCCATTGTGTGTAATATGGAGGGGTAATACTCATCTGTCTTGTAGGGTTGTTAGGAGGAGAATGACAGAAAAGCAGGTAAAGTGTGGGTATACACCTGGGACATCGTGGTTGGTTGCAGAGAAGGATTAATTGATGTCAAGAGAGCACATAAATGGGGCTGGTCCTGCCTGGTGACATTCAGATTCTGTTTCTCGCTAATGGGCCCTGGAGCCTCACAGTCCTGGCTGGGGAGCAGGTTCTGTGTCCCTCTGTGCCCTCCTCGCTGTGCTGTCTGCAGGGGAGGAGAGAGAGGGTGCAGTGGCTGCTTGATGCTGAGGACTGAGGCTCGGTAGGGAGCTGGGCCTCGGCTCTGAGAAGGCAATCTGAGCATCTCTGCTTGGAGGGAGGCGGGGCCTCCAATCAGCCGAGATGAGCCTGCACTGGGCTTATTTATGCCACTTCGCTTTGATCGGGAGCCCTGCTTAGAGACAGGCTCATGCCTAATTCATGAGAAACTCTAGTAGTCAAAGGGCTGGGCTGTGGCCTGAGGACAGGGAGTGTGAGCACGCAGGTTTCTGCGCAAGCACACACATACAGACAGGCACAAGTGTACATGGGTCATCATCTCATACACACATACACAGGCGTGCCCCCCCCAGCACACCACATGGGGACATTTAAGTATACGACATTTGGTGTACGTATGCACACAGATACTCTGGCATGCAATTGTGTGTACTCAAAGATTCACATATGCGTTCCTAGATGGTGATCATGCATTTGTTCATTAGCACACATACAGACACAGATGCAAACATTCACATCCAAGCACAGATCTACCTGTGCACATACACTCATGCATGTCATATGTGCATGAGCAAAATGCTCATTTACATGTGTCATCTACCCTGTACATAATCATACACATATGCACATACTGTCAGCCCTGCTCACACTCATGGGGTTTCAGCAAGTCCCTAATGTGCCTTTGACAACATTTTATTTCCCCTTGATCACAATGTACACTGTGCCCTTCCCAGCAGATGGTGTGACCAGCTTCCTGTGGCAGTACCCATGGGCAAAGGTAAGTTCTTTCCCTCCTCCCCTTTCACTAAGTAGCTGCCCCCAGCCTCAGGAGAGACACAGGGAGCTGGCAGAAAGTTCTGGGGATAGAGTACCCATGGGATGGAGGCATTTTATGCTCTATCTTCTTCCTTTATTTCCTCATGCCCCATTGGGGCTCATTCCATTTCTTGAAGTCTCCAAAGAGGCAAAGGCTCAGGGATGAAGAACCAGAGCCAAGAGTTAAGGGAAATACACAGGCTTCCAGACTGGCAGAGAGCAGCTGATTACTAAGTCAATGGATGCACCCACACAGTTCCTGAAGTCTGATGCTTCCTTCCATGGGGTAATGAGAGGACCACTCTCAAAGCATCCTCAGCTGCAGCTCCAGCAGCATCTGGGAACTCGTTAGAATTCTCTCTCCGTGTCTCTGTATCTCTGTCTCTGTCTCTCTCTCCAGGGATTCATGTGGTACAGGATGGCCTCCCCACACCCTATGTAGCTGAGGATGACCTCAGGCTGCTGACCCTTCTGTTTCTACCTCCAGAGAGCCTAGATTACAGGTGTGCACTGCTAGACCACTTTTGCTGCGCTGGAATTGAACTCAGAGCTTTGTGAACAATAGGCAAGCACTCTACCAAATAAGCTATAGCCTCGGCCCAGAAGACTCCTTTTGAGTCACTCACTGTGTGTGTGTGTGTGTGTGTGTGTGTGTGCATGTGTGTGTATACATCGGTACTCAGTCCTTCTGATGACACAGGATCCCTAGCATGCAGACACAATGGTTTAGCCCCTAAGTTTGGAGAGAAGCAGAGGAGGATGGGATCCAGTTCCTCCAGATGTGAATCCTCAGACAAGCCACTGATCTATCTGGGGCTCAGTTTCTTCATGAGGACTGGGAATAATTGCAGAGTTGATCTCACAGGGTTTGAGAAGGTTAATAGAGGAGCAGAGTCTGCCCCACTGTGAGTGCTCAAGGTCGCAACTATTGTAACTTACCTACTGCTTCTCGGGCTCAGGCAGAATCCCCCTGACCTCAACTAGGATGACAGATGGGGAAAATGTTGAAACTGAACCAATGCTTTCAAAGCTTGAGGAGCAACAGTCATGGGGCTCCTGTGAAAGCAGTCACATGGGTAGGTGACTGGAACTTTCTCTGAAGACACTGGCATTCTAAGAGGCAGGGGGATGTGCCTTCTGTTCTTGGAAATGGGCAGCTCATCCACCCCAAATCAGCCTCTTGGAAATGGATGGATTAAGACCCCAAGCGAAGAATAGGGTTCCAATGATCCCAAGACTCTCTGGACCTGGGCCATCTCTCTTCTGCCTCATCTAGTCCTTTTCTGTTTCTCTTCCTCCAATGATTCACATGGCTTGCCCCAGAAACTTTCAGAACTTGAGACCAATCTACATGGCTTACCACCATAACTTCCTAGAGTCAACTGGTTTCACCAGGGAGGAGTTGAGAACGTGGCTTCAGGCCCCTGGATTCCACGTAGTGAGTGAGTGAGTGAGTGAGTGAGTGAGGGAGGGAGGGAGGGAGGGAGGGAGGGAGGGGCAGAGCTCCCCTTTTCTACTCAGTAAAGAGTCCAGGGAGGTAAGCTCCAGGTGATGCAAAGAAGAAGAGAATCTCACCTTGAAGAAGGTCATGGTGGCCCCATCCTTGACAGCACCATATTCAATTTTGGTCTGCTTGGCCAGGTCGTCAGCAGAGTCGATGGGTGACTCCATGCGCTCCACAGTTAGAAAGGCAGCCAGGTTCGCCGTGTAGGAGGAGATGATGATGAGTGTGAAGAACCACCAGATGCCGCCGATGATACGGGTGGACAGAGCTTTAGGCATCAGTTCAGAGCCTGGGAGAAGGGAGGAGATGCCTTACAATGTGTAGACCATGACATTGCCTGGATACTCACATAGGCACTGAGACCATTTCTCCAGACTAGCAGATCAGCCCCATGAACTCTCAGTATCACTGGAAACTTGACTGAAAGACAAATTCTTTGATTCATCTCAAGAGTCAATAACTGGAGGTTGGGGGGGGGAGGGATGGGCAGTGTGAGCACTCAGCCCTTTAGTGAGTCTGATTCAGGCTGGTATTTAAAATTTACATTCTACACACACACACACACACACACACACACACACACACACTCGCATGCACACACACGCACACCATTTCATAGGTTCCTCAGACCCTCTGATGCCTATCGGTGGACCACAGTATAGGGGTCAGAATCTATGGGTTCTGAAAGAAAACCCTGTTCCTGGTTCTCTGAGTGATATGAGGCCAGACGATTCTCTCCTTCTGACTCTGCAAAGGATGAAGAATTGTCCTTCCTCTGCCCCAGCCTCACAGAACTGCTGCGATACTGCAATGGTATAATTTGAAGAGAGATGCATCAGAAATATGAGCAGTATACAAATATGAAATTGCTGTAAGGCACTTGGCAGGAGAAGAAAAATCAACATTTTGGAAGCTCTTTGCTGAATTATATCAGTCTTTCTTCCCGACCTTGTGTGCGGAGCACCATTCAGACGAACCCTTCTAACTGAAGTAATTAACTAGGCGGCTTTCAAGAGATTTAAATAGTGAGTGACTCCTGAACTTTCTGGAATATTTGGACCTGCAATCTGAAAGCGCCTGCTTTGATATGGATGATTTTTTTCTTTTCTCAAAGAAGCCACTCAAGGGAGAGTTTTTCAAATACCTACCTAGTCCCCCCACCCCTCCCTAATCAAAACCATGTGGGGAATGCAGTGGGGGCCTGGGTTTGAGTAGCAGCAGGCAGAGGCAGAGAAGTTATTACTGCAGTGAAGGGGCTTCCAGGTCTTTCTCAACTGTCACTGAACAAAGATGATGGGCAAAGAAGGAAGGTGAGGCTTCGGGAAGCTTGTTAATAGTGGGGACAGATGGTGGCACTTGCCATGAAAGCTGCTTGTCACTCCCCAGCTGCTGGAGCCCACCGATCAGGGGTGGGGCAGGTCTACTTCATCTTCTACAATACTCACAGCTCCACAGTGCTCACGGCCCAGTGGACGGCTGTGTGATGGACACTAAGGAGAATGCCCCCTCCCTCCCTCCCCCCTCCTTCCCTCTCCCTCCCTCCCTCCCTCCCCCTCCCTTCCCTCCCTTCCCTCTCCCTCCCTCCCTCCCTCCCTCCCTCCCTTCCCTCATTCATCTGGCATCTTCATCATGCCTTCTGAAGAGCAGGATTTATGCTGGGTCCTAAGGCTTCACATGGGAGTGTGAAGGACAACAAGGTCCTTGCAGTTAGAGTAGACACTGCATTTCTCATCAGGTCATCAGGCTTGGCAGCAAGCACCTTTACCCACTGAGTCATCTTGCTGCACCCTCCCCGCTTTTGAGACAGGGCCTTGCTTGTCTTGAACTCACAGTAATCTCCCAGTCACAGTCACCCAAATGCTGGAATCACAGATGCGAGCTACCACGCTTGGCTGTTGTCTAGACACTTAAGCATCTCCAGACATTCCAAAGAGCTGCACCCTTGCTCACAGTCAGTTCTCTTGGGGTCCTCTCTTCAGGACGGAAGACCATCTTCTTCCATGAACACTGTCTCCGATGTGCTCAGGCAGAAGCTCCAACCTCAGTCAACCTCACGTAGCCCTGACCCAACTATTTGGAGTTCTTAGTCTCCTCAGCCATGCACCCTCACAGCACCAGTCTGCAGCTCCTCCTGCCTCCCCTCTGCCTCTATGGTCCCATCCCCCTGCTTGCTTGGATCAGCTTTGTTTGGCCATGGAGAAGTCACCAGGGTCAATCCAGGAGGCAGCATGTTCTGCTCCATCCCAACAGCAGTAGCAGGTACTAGGAATGCCTCTCACATGCCACAGCTTGGGGTGGATGACCTGCTTCAGATCTGGAGCTGGCTCTGGGCCAGAGCAGTGGAGCAGGGTGTGAATCAGGTGTGAAGGCACATGCCAGGGCATCTTCAGCGTCTCCAACTTTCTGACAGCTTGGGGTCTGAGGCTGTCTCCCGAGGGCAGCTGACCAAAGGACACACTGGGGAGAAAAGCTACCTTCCTCGGATGAGAAGGCCCGGAGAGGACAGGCACGCACCTTGTTGCATCAGGGAGCCCATTCCAAACCAGAAGCTGTTGAGCAGCGTGAAGTTATTCTCCACCACCTCGGAGCCAGGGTTGCAGGGGTGGGCGTCATACCACTCGTAAGGGCTGAATCTGCAGGGTAGAGGGAAGCAGTGAGACCAGGCTCCAGGAGGCTGCCAGCTAGTAGGTAACAAGTACCAGCGTGGACTGACAACCACTCGAGTCCCTTTCCTTATTGTCTGGCTGGAGTGATAGGCAAGCGCCAGTTGGGACCAGGCTTCTTCCTGTCCTTTACTGCCAGTGCCCTTTCCTGGTTATAAAGTAATTCCAAAGCACCTTTTCAAATGAAAAGCGTGCATGCCCTTCTACCTCGGGAAACTGCAAGTCATTATCCATGTAAGAAAAACACTCATACAGGCGAATAAAGGGAAGTCCTCAAGGATGTTTATCAAAGTGTTGTTTGCAATAGCAAAAAACCTGAAAATAACCTAAATGTCCTTCAGTAGAGGGATGATTAAATACGCCATGCCACAGCCACACAGAAATATCACGCAGCTGTTAAAGAGAGCAGCATGCTTCTAGATGTCCCTAGACAGGGAAAGAGCGTCAACACAGACTATTGGATGCAAAATGATCAAGAATCAAAACAGTGCAATCACATTTCTATAGATTTCTTAAGACAGCCATACAGCTCTGTAGGTAAATGTGCATGTGAATGTATGCTAAGAGGTCTAGAAGTTTCCATCTGTGAGAAGATCAGTGCATGCCTCTGAGGAGAGGGGTAAGCAGGACAAAAGGAATTTCAGCCAAACCTGTTGCCTCACTTGTATTACATGGCTCTTTTTGAAAATGAGAAAATGCATTTAAATTTCTTGTATAATAAAAAAGTGAAAAAAGATATTATAAAATATTCAAATAGCATACAAGAATATGATGAGAAAGCACAAATGTCCCAGGATCCCACTCCAAGGGGAGAACAATGTGTGATTGCATTTCAGGTTTTTGTGTTTGATCATATGAACATATGTATGACAGGAAAATCTTGCTTAAAGCCCCCATTCCACCCCACCCCCTTCTAGGGGAGAGGGTTCCCAACCAGGGAAGGAAGCCTGGTTGCCTGGCTGAAGTTTCCCAACCAGGGAAGGAAGCCTGGTTGCCTGGCTGAAGTCTACCTGCAAATGAGTTAGTTTGAAGGTGCAGAGAGATGGGGGAGACTGAGAAGTTCCTGGATCGGAGCGGTTGTATGTGTGTGTATTGGGGACGGGATGAGGTAGGATGCAGGAAGCAAAGACAGACAGACTTTGTCTTTTTTTTTTAAACAAAAACATGTTTTCTTTAACTTTTTCATGGGAAGCCCTTTACGGTAACTTGTGTCATGCCTTTCCCAGCTCTCTTCTCAAAGTGGGAGTGTTACCTATCACCTAGTGCTCCCTGGGCTCAGATGAGGACAGTTCTGCTCTCAGGAAGCAGGATGCTCCTTTAGATGGAAATGCTAGCATTGCCAAAGGGATGGGCAACAAGGGAATAGAGGCTCTAGAATCCCCAAGGAAGAGGCTGAGGTTCAGGAGGGAGGGCTGATAGACATTTTGGGGGAGGGAATGTAAGAGAAAACCTTTGGAGAGTTGGGTGCCCAGAATGCTGTTGGCAGGCAGACAAACCTGACTTGTCTGGAGGGCTGGGCCTGGTGGGTGCTTGTGTTGTAGGTAGAATGAGAGTCCCTGCTTCAGGTCCAGAGTCCACCAGATCTAGGTGTACACAATGCCTTCCCACTAAGTCCACACAGATTGGAACCTGGTCCAGGTCCACCTTGGCTCCATTTTAGAAAAGCAATGGACTTCAGCAGGCAGAGGCCATAGGCCACTGGAGACTCAGAGCAGAGGGGAGAAGGGACTACCTAAGGCGGCACAGCCCTGGGAGGCTCACCTTGGGGGTTAAAAGAGAAACTATGAAAGAGCTAAAATCTCACAAAATCTATGGAACCTCAGCCTTCAGCTTCTACACTGAGACAAGCTTGTGGCACAGGGAGACTAGGACTGACCTAACAGGGAAGCAAAGGCTGTGACAGTTTGTACTGGGGACCAAGAGACCAAGATCCTCGGGGACCTCTCCTGGTTGGAGGGCTGAGAGCAGAAGAAAGATGAGTTCTGCGCAGTGCTCAGGGTTCAGTTATTTATTTATTTAATGATTTAAAGACCTGCATGGCATTTATTTGCTTATGGCATGTGTTTGGGCGTGTGTGCTACGGCACAAGTGTGGGGCCAGAGGATAACTTGCAGGAGTCAGATCTCTCCTTCTACTGTGTGACACTCTGGGATATAATTCAGATCTTCAGGTTTTGAGTCAAGAGCACCTTTACAGCTGAGCCAGCTCATCAGCCCTAGGTCCTGCTCTTAATGTAACACACAAACACAGACAGATAGACATACACACACAGAAATGTACACACAGACAAAGACACATAGACACAGACACACACACAGACAGACACACAGATACAGACACAGACACACAGACACACAGATACAGACACAGACACATAGACAGACAGACACACAGACACAGACACATAGAGACACTTTTTAACATAAAAATGCCATATCACCCCAGGATCCTGTCATAGAAATTTCTCTGTAGAAAGCTGTAATCCCTTTCTAGGTTGGCCCCTCAGAACCAGCCTGTGCCCTCCAACCACTCACATGTGTCATAACATACCTGTGTGGTGGTCACTGAAGCTGACCCAGTTCATGCTGTTGGGGGAAAGAAAAGGACCTGGGTGCATCTCTGTGGCCACCAACACAGAGGGTAGCTGGGCCCTCTGGGCTCTGCTGTAAAGGCATTTTGGGTTCCAAAGCATCACTATTGGTGAAACTTTAACAGAACAAGTTCCCAGAGAAAACGGCGTATTCTGATAAACATAGATGATTCCAGAAGGGGCCTTTTGATAATTAGATGTTCTTAACGACTGAGGTTTCCCCACCCAAAGAGATCCACAGCACTGGGCACCCGTTTTACAGTGTAGGAGGGGACTGGACCCTTGCGGTGCAGAAGACAAGAAGGAATGGATGAGGGCTGGCCAAGGGTGTCATGTGCAGGCCATTGTCCCTGCCTCTCTGCAGCCCCAAGCCTGCAGGTGCCCAGTGGCACCCCCTCCAGCCATCTGTGTGCACCCTAGTTTGCAGCTCCCTAACGCCCAATCCTGTGTTCAGTTTAAAAAAGGAAAGCTTTGTGACTTTGGGTGTTGATGTAACCTCTCTGAGCCTTTGTTTCTGCTTCTGTGATGTGGGGATATTTCTCCCCACCTTACAGGACTATCGTGAAGAGCAGACACAATGGCTGTGAGCTGTGCTGTTCGAGGGTTCCATGGGGTGACCAGTGCACTTAAATACCCTTTGTCAGCTCTGTGGCCCAGAATTTCATCCTTCTCCTTCCTCTACAGCTTCCTCATGGCATACTGGTCACAGTAGAAAACCCCACTTTTCCTAAGCATCTAAGACTAGCCTTGGTGTGCATGGGGGGGTGTTCCTCCTATCTTCCCATCCAGGAGGGAGAGGCTGAACATAAACCCAGCTGCCTGCAGCAGATGGATGGCCCGTATCTGAGGGGGGGGAAGAGACACACATCAAAAGACAGAACTAATGCTGGAAATGCTCCTGTCTCAGAGGGATGGGTGACTGAGGGGCCACTGGAGCTTCGAGAAAATTACGTTGAGAGCGCAAGAGAGCAGCTCAGCTTTCAAAGGCTTGTTAGACCATTAGTGACGAGAGGCGTGATGAAGGTCTCTCTGTGATGGCTCGCTGCCGGCTGGGCTGAGCAGGCAGGGCAGCTGCAGCATCAGGACCGGGCTCTGCAGCAAAGGCTTGGGAGGCTGGGTGATTTCGCCTCTCACATTTTTCCTTTGGTCTCTCTCTGTGTGGGAGGGGGCAGAGAGTGAAGGGCGCAGAGGGGAGCGGGGGCTTTCAAAGGAAGCTCTAGAGGAAAAAGGCGAAACACCAGGTCCTTGGATCTCAAATTGCCTCTCCAGAGAAGTTTCTCTTTGCACCATGTTAGGCTTTAGAGAAAAAAGGATCCAGAGCAGGGGCAAGGATGGGGCCTGGAGGGAGGGGCAGAGAGCCCAGCTGGGAGGGGCCAGGGAGCTTGAGGTGGGGGCCAAGCAGTGGCCAGAGAGGTATGAATCACAGACAAAAGCCTCAGTGAAATTAAGTTCACATCCTAGACGTGTCACTTATTGTTTGCATGGCCTCAGTGGGTCTTGGGTGTCTTTAAGGGAGGCTGTCAGGGAAAACGAAAAGGTGGCAAGGTGCAGAACAGAGTGCCTGGCAAACACTGGGTATTTGATAAACATGGCCTAATCTGCTTCCCTAGTGACACACTTCCAATAACCTCTAGCAAGGGTGTACTTCATGTGTTTCCAATGAACAACACAAGGGTGGGCTCAGTGCAAGCGTGGATTCTCAGCAGGAAGTGTACATGTGAATGACACAGTGCCTAAGCATGGATCCCAGGCATGCATGTTTGTGTGCCATGTTTCTGCATGTGGCATGTGCATAGTTGGTGGTGACCAGCTCTCCTGCTGTGTGGACGGCTTAGATACAATTTGTTTTAAGCCACTCATTAGGCTACGTGATGCACTTGGGTCTGGTCTGCCATCCCAGGTGTGCAGTTCTGAACAACGGTCAGGCTTCTCCCAGCCTGTTCTGGGCTCCAGCATGCAACGACCATCTCTGAGTCACAGACACAGACCAGAGGGAAGATTGGATGATTCAAGCCCAGGGAGCCATGGAGCATTCCCTGAAGGGACAATGGATCTGAGCCAGAGGGAGGACGAGAATGTTGGGTGCCTCAGTAACCCAAACCTTGGGCCTCTGGCCAAGGGGAGCTTGCCTAGTTTCCTATGCTTTCCAGCTTGGCCCAGAGCTTCCGCCAAGGCACAGCCTTACCTGGCGATGACGAAGAGGACACAGCTGACACCCAGGTAGGCGAGGAGCACGTACATCCAGATGTCCGGGGAAAGGGGGTTGAGGAAGGAGAAGACACTGGGGTTGGTGCCATTGGGTTTGCGATATAAGATGCTCACTCCAAGGGTCATAAAAGGCTTAGAGAAGTCGATGGCCTTCTCTCGGACATGGGTGATGGTTAAGGGGGCCACGGCCAGATCTGCTTTCTGTAACAAGACCACAGGCAGACAGACAATGAGCAAAACCTAGGTCTAGAGGTGATGGAGAACCCCCTCATGGACCACAGACTGAGGTGAGGTTAGTTGCTTCAGTCCAAGGTTACTTAACCACGCCTGTGTATGTCCAGTGTGTGTGTGTGTGTGTGTGTGTGTGTGTGTGTGTGTGTGTGTAAGTGTGGAGGCCAGAGGACAGACAAACTTAGTGTCATTTCTCAGTTGCAATTGACTTTGTTCTCTGATTGTGAACCTTAGACTTTAACAGCTGAGCCATCTCCCCAGTCCTGACCTTTTTTTCTAAGGCAAACTCTCTCACTGGCCTGTAACTCACCCAGTAGGCTAGGCTGCCTGGCAAGCAAACTCCAGGGATCTGCCTGTTTCTGCCTCCCCAGCGCTGGGATTATAAGTGTGTGCCACCACACCTGACTTTGTCCCCAAATGGGTTCTGGGAACAGAACACAGATCCTTGATTGAAACTTCCCTCCAGCCCATTTATTCACAGTTCAGTTTCAACACTGACTGACCCTCCTGGCTGGGACATGCCCAGGGTCTGGGAGAGACAAGATGTACAAACATTAATACAGGGTAACTTAAGCTTTCTTCCCTAAGAGCTGATGGCTTGAAGAAGAGGGCCATGACCAAAGCATAGAGAGAGTGGGTACCTATGAGGTCCCTTCTCAAGATGGTACTGTGTCAAATGAACTCAGATTCCCCCTATCAATCACTTCTTGACCAGTTTAGCCCACTCAGGATGGTCATTAGATCCTAAAACCAGCTCCAAACCCAGTTAGACAAAGGTAATACCCTCCTTGGGAATTGAGGAGATGGCTCAGTTAGTCAAATGTTTGCTGTGCAAAAATGAGGACCTGAGTTTGGACCCCCAACACTCATGTAAACAGGCCACAGAGCTTACTGGCCAGCTAGTCTAGCTAGTAGGTCAGCTCCAGGTTCAAAGAGAGATCCTGCCTTATAAATAAAGTGCAATATTATTGAAGAAGACAACTGATACTGATACACATCTGTGCACGTGCACACTTATACACATCCACTACATAGAACACACACAAAACAAACAAAACTCCTTAGAGGGTGTGGGTGGACAAGAAGCTGAATGAGAAAGTCCAAGCCTCACTAGCAGGGGTTAACACAGAGGCAGGAAAAGGAAGGCTAGAGATATGATATATTAATACAGGTCATTGCATCACAAATTTAATGAAGGGTGTTCTTAAATTTAGTCTGAGGGTTTCCTGATTAAAAATTTAAAAAGGCCTCCTCCTGCATCTTATCTGCAGTTTTCTTAATACAAGGCCCCATTAAACACTGCCCTGTTCCTGTGTCCATTTCTTCGCCTCCACACCCGGCCCACAGGGCCTTCTCTTTGTCTAATTCTTCCTATTTGTATTATTTCACACATGCTGTCTCTTTCAGATCCCTTCCTGGCAGTCTTGAATTCTCGATTCTCTTGAAGTCCACTCTTTCCCAAGGGAAGGTCTGCATTGCTCAGCGTGCATGGGGGCATGTCAGCAAGCATGCATCTGCTTATATACTCAATGGGCTCCTGCACGCTAGGGCTGCGGCTGATCCACTGTTCTTTCCTCGTCTCAAAGCCCTTCTTAGACTCTGAAATATTTAGTAGTGCTTCCCTGGAAAAGGCTGCCTCTTAGGCTCCTGTGGGTATTTGTGTCTCAATTATGAATCAAGTTATTACTTCCCTTCCATTCGCAGGCACAACTAAAAGGAAGCGGGATCCTAAAGGCCAGCACTGAAGACACTTTGCCAGGAAGGAGCATCCTTCTGAAAGACCCTGCCAAGGCAATGCCTCTAGGCAGCCACTTGCTGGATTGACCCATCTACCCCCAACCCATCCATTTATCCCTCTATCCATTCTTCCATCCACACACTACTCACTTATCCATTTATCTATCCATCTATATTCATTTATCCATATATCTACCAACCCAGATACCCATCAGTTGTCCACCTGTCCATCCATCCACCAGCCCACTGTATTTCCACCTACTCACTATTTTATGAGAGCCACCAGAAACTAGAGAGACAGAGTTGTCACTAACAGTCACAGTTTCTGCTCTCATGGTTCTTAAGGTGTAGTAGGGGACATGGGTATCAATCAAAGTGCTTATCATATCAGCACTAACTCAGACTACACTTATCTCAGAATAGGAACAAGTATGTCAATAGAAATCACATCAGGAGATAAGGCTAATATGTGTGAAATCCCAGTCTAGAGCCCTCTGTGAGTACCGCAGGCTTGGGGGAATTAGGAGATATTCTGATATTGGTATCCCCCGTGTTGCTCTTTCTAATGCCATCTCTTTTCCCAAACATAGATACTCAGGGGCCCAAGGCTTTGGTAAATTCCCAAATCCAGGAAAATGCCAGCAAGGTGGCCCATGGAGCACAAGGCACCTGCCACCGAGATTGATGATGACCTGTGTTGGATCCCTGGAACCTATATGGCAGAAGGAGAGAACCAAGTCCTACAAGTTATCCTCTAACCTCCAAACATGAGACATGACATGCAGACATGAGCATATACTCATGCATGCGGCAAACAAACAAACAAATGTGAAACAAATCAACCCCAGGGAGTACAGGGAGGTGAAACTATGGAAAAGCTCATTACACTGGAGCATCCTTTTATAAATTTTTGAGTGTACGAGTTAGAACTTGCCTAGCTTTTTAGGAACAGAAAGAGGAACAGGAGAGCTGCCTTAGCTTCTGGACCCTTCTCAGTTCAGGGTATGAACAAGTGGATGCGGGGGGGATGTTCAGGGACCTTAAAGACTGTCTAAGACACAGTTGATCAAGACATACTATGTTCAGACACTGGCCTAGCTGGTACAGTGAGTCCCTGCTTCAGGTATAGACATGATTCCTGGGTAGCACATGAGTCAACGTGAGCACCTTGAAGGTCTCCTTCAGTCCTGAAGGTCTAGAATCTTCTAAAATGATGGGGTGAGAAGGACCTAGTAGTGTTTGAGTCTAGATTCCTGCCTCCCCTAGTCCAGTCCTGTCAAAGGATGCTGCTTTGGGAGGCCGTGTTTTACTCCAAAGGTAGGATGCCTTGGTCTTTGGCTGATCTCTAGAATGGCCTCTGGGTTTGCAGTGGTTTCTTAGATAGGACCTCCAATTCAGTGGTGGAGGATCGTTCTTGGACTTTTGACAGCAAACCACACGAGATCAAGGTGTTTGTACACAATGCTTATTCTGCAAGAATGTCCCAGGGCTGGGGAGGAAGCCAGTCACAGGCCCCGGAGCAGTCTTTTGTAGGGTCTTCGGCATCTCTCTTCCTTTCTTTCTGCTTTCTGGATCTAATGGGATCGGGCAGCAGAGGCATCCATGGTACTCTTTGCCTATGGCAGCAAGGTAATTGGCCAATGTGAACTTCTCTGGGAGTTCAGATGAGTGCTCTCCCTTGGGCTTCAAGAAAGCTGGCATTCTCCACTTCATTTTTGGCTTAGGCAGAAAATACTATATTTCACTGTTGGTAACGATTTCCCTGAAAAAGGCATTATTTTGTCCAACTTCCCTTGAAAGATTGGAACAGATGTCAAGCCTTCGCGGTTTCGGTTCATTACTCAGAATGAAAGGCCCAGTCTTGGCGGCTCTTCCCACTCATGCATACTTCTTCCAGCGTGATTCATGAAATCACAGGCTGTCAGAGCTGGACGAGACACCTTCAGGAACATCTGCTCCAACCCCACATTTTATTACAGAGGGAAACTGAGGCTTGGAGAAGTTTGTTCTTTCTTCTCATGTTACAAAAATCATGATCTTGAACAAAACGAAACCAAACTTTGCCCTTTCCCCCATACCTTCACTGTCTGATAGGTGAGACTGTTCTTCTCCTGTCTTACTGAGTACCTTTCTGTACATCTTCTACATGTCTAGGCCACACAGGATGCCTTCTAAAGACATTGTTTTATCCCTAGAAGTAACCTTCCACTCACTAAGTTTTGTCAGGATGCACTCAATCCAGCCCTGCTACACCTCCACTCCACGAATGAAATCATTTGATCTTGTCTACTTGGTTTCAGCCCCAGATCCTACACAGATGACAAGAAATACTTACCCAACTCCAGCTTGGTATTCAAATCTCTTGACTTTAGCCTGGACACTGAACGTGTTCCTATAATAAAACCTGGGCCACTTCCCACCAGGCTAAGGATCGGCAAGATCTCATGATCTTAGTTCTGTCAACTTGTCACCAATCAGTCTTGCCTTAAGGACAAAAAGTCTTTGGAGACTAAGGTCTAGTTCCCCAGGGCCCCTGCTCACTCCTTGGGTTTGGTGTTCTGTTGGCACTCCCTGTTGGATTTTCCAGTATGGTCACCACTGGATTCCATTATTTCTATGCTCTCCCAGTGTGCCTGCCTGCCCAGATAGTCAACTGATATATTAAAATAGCCATCATTACAGGATGCTGCCTACAGGCCAAGAGTCGTCAAGTGCTTCGTGAATTCCTCCCTAGAGCCCCAGGAGGCAGCAGACATCACCACATTTTAGAAGAAGGATTTGGTGGCTATAGTAGGCAGGATGCTTGTTCAAACTGGTGGATGGCTGAGCCAGTTCTAGCGCTCGATTCACTGTGAATTTAAAACCCAACATTTTACCACACTGTCGTACAAGCCAAGTATAGGGGGGTGATGTGGCGGTGGCACATAGCCTTAATTATATTCCAACTCTGTGACTGTGAACTAATCTGGAATAAAGTCTTGCAGATAATATTCTTGCAAAACAAAGTCATCAAATTAAGATGGCATCATAATGGATTAGATGGCCCCCTCCCAACAATTGGTGCCCTTATAAGAGTAGACAGATATACACAGAGAAGAGTGTGACAATGACTTCAGAGAGGGGGAACAACCCAGACACAAGCCAAGGAGCACTAAGGGCTTCTGGCCACATCAGAACCTGGGAGGACAGAGCCCATTCACCTTCAGAGCCTCTGGAGGGGATCAACACTTCTG